ACTCTGAGCCATTGCACGGGCGGAGGGCGGGTGGTGTTCAAGCTGCGGCTCTCGCCCGCATTCGCTCCAACAGTTTCCATCAGCTCTACGGGTGGAGGGCGATCCGCTCTCAGACTGTGCCTCCCGCCGCAGCGCCGTTCGAATTCGTCCGAGCAGTTCCGCACAGCTCCGCGGATGGAGAGCGAGCAGCTCCTAGCATGAGGCTCTGACAGAGCGCGGTATACACATTCGTCTTAACACCTTCCAGCAGCTGTTTGAATGGAGGGCGGGTGGATATGAACGCGTTGGTCGTCTTCGCGCCGCGCATACCCCTCTTATAAGCTTCCGCCAGTTACAGGGATGGGGGGCGGGTAGTTCTGCTGTGCTCGCCCGAGCGCTGCGCCCGTTCGGCTCGATCGTTCCCAGCAGTCACGCAGATTCCATGCGGCGGGAGGTGTCGTTTTCCGAAGCGAGGTTCTCGCTCGAGCCCGCCTCAACGATCCACAAACGACCACGAGCGCAACACTGCGCAGCACTTGCACGGACGGGCGGCGATTTCTCTCCTCGCCAGGCGGTGCGACACCGCGCGCGACGAGATTCGAGCGATGCGCTGGTGGCGGGCGGGCGGCTCTCAACACACACACACACACTTACACACACTTACACACACGTACACACACTTACACACACTTACACACACTTACACACACTTACACACACTTACACACACTTACACACACTTACACACAGTTACACACTTACACACACTTACACACACTTACACACACTTACACACACTTACACACACACACACTTACACACACACACTGGCGCTGTCGCCTGCAGGCGCAGGCCTCTGGGGCGCTCGGCTTTCAGAGGGGCGCCTCGTGCAGTGACAGGGAGTGCTTGCAGGGACTGGCGGAGGAGGGGACCTGGGACGGGAGGGCGCATCGTGGGGACGGACATCGTTCGTGCACCATGGGATTTCCTCAGGATTTCCACTGCCCGTGGCGCACACTCACATACACCGCCTCTGCCGCTCCCTCCTCCTCCTCTTCCTCCTCCTCCTCCTCCTCCTTCTCCTCTTCCGCCGTGCCCAGACATTCGCTCAGCATTGGTCCCAGGACCCCCTCCCAGGTTTTGCCCTGGCCGGTTTTCCATGCCAGGCCGAGTGCTGATGGTTTCGTGGCCCTGACAAGCGGGCCTCCAGGGGCCGAAAGAGGTGCAGCATGTCCTCGTTGAACTTGTCCCTCCTCCTCCTCCTTCTTCTTTTCCTCCTCCTGCAGACCTTCAGATGTTGGCTATGATGTTCATCCGAGGCAGCAGTTCCCCCCCCCTCACCCCCAGGGGCGATTACCCTGGGGGGTGGTGATCAAACTAGGAGATCTGTGAAGAAACAGCGAGGCGAGCGACGGACCCCCCCCCCCAGGAGGGGTAGGCACGCCCCCTTCAACCTGGGGGAGGGGGGGATGGGGAAGCGGGAGGAGAGGCTCATGCAGGAGAAGGGGGAGGAGAGAGCAGCACGGCGGGCGACGGTTGAGGCGCCAGCGGGGAGGCGGCGTGGCTGCGGTGAGGACTTGCGAGTGCGGGGTTGGCTCGCGCAAGGCCGCGCTCGCCCAGGGGGGTGGCTTGAGAGCCTCGCCCCCGGCCCATGGGAAGCCCCAGCCATCCAGCCCGCACTCCCACGACGGGGAGCCCCAACCCGCCGCGGCAGGCGCAGGGTACATCCGAACGTGGAACGGGTGGCTGCCACAAGGACAAGGAGGAGGAGGCGGCGGAGGAGGAGCAGGAGGAGGAGGAGGAGGAGGAGGAGGAGGAGGAGGAGGAGGAGGAGGAGGAGGAGGAGGAGGAGGAGGAAAGGAGGGGAGGGGGGGGGAGGAGAGGAGGAGGAGGAGGACGACGAAGGAGGAGGGGGGGGGAGGGGGGGGGCTCCACCGGGCGTGGAGGTTGAGCCTTCCTGGCGGTGGCCTCGTTGTTGTTCGTCTCCTCCTCCAACAGATCCAATCCCACCCCCCCTCCTCCTGTACTGGCTGGCTGAGTTGCGGCAACGAGTGAGGTGCAGGGGCGTGCAGCAGCGTGTGGCTACCATCGGCAGGGGCCAATGCACTCCGGGACGAACGGCGCACGGGCCTCTCCTAATTGTTCTGGGATCCCGGCAGGGACGGCCCCCAGTCTTGCCCGGGGAACCCTCACCAGCCGAGGCAAGCGAAGGGCTACCGTGGGCAGTACTGGGCGCCACCCTGGGACCCCCACCGGGTGAGGGGAGGTTTGCTGCGCTGTCCAACGGGGGTGGCCCCTTGGGTACGTCGTCCCTCCCCTTCCACTTGGCCCTAAACCATTCACCCTTAGGCTGGTAGATTGCTGCTGGCTTGGTGGCAGGCGGATGGCTGTGCGGCGAGTGCTGAGGTGTGGCGGCAAGTGCCTGCAGTGGCTGGGATTGACTCCTCTTTCTCCTTCTCCTCCTCCTCCTTCTCTCCTCGAACCTCCTCCTACTCCCCCCGCTCCTCCGACCCCTCTCACCCCGCTCACATTTTCATTCCTCCCACTCTCCCTGTTCTCCCACTCCTCCCACCCCTCTTTGAACCTTCTCCCTCTCCTCCCCCTGCTGCTCCTCCTCCTCCTCCTCCTCCTCCTCCCACTTCTCCTCTCACCACAGCGCGCTTCGCGGCTCTCGGTGCGCGACGGCGCCGGCAACAGGCCGTCGACTCTTGCGGCGTCGAGACGACCTCAGCGTCCTACTCCGGCCGCGCTCGTCCGTGCGCCCCCCCCCGTCGGAAGGCTTTCCGAGCGCATCAGTTGTAGTGGTTGTAGCCGTAGCAGTCGCAGTCGCGGCCGTAGTAGTAGTAGTAGTAGTAGTAGTAGTAGTAGTAGTAGTAGTAGTAGTAGTAGTAGTAGTAGTAGCAGTAGTAGTAGTAGTAGTAGTAGTAGTAGTAAGTAGTAATAGTAGTAGTAGTAGTAGTAGTAGTCGTAGTTAGAGGAGGAGGAAGATGAGGAGTAGTGGTATTAGTAGTCGTAGTTCGGTCCTCCAAGGATGGTGGTCCGTGGTGTTTTCCTGACAGCTTTTCTCCGAACGGCGTGCTACACTACGTCGCCTTCGGATTAAGGCTCTCTCTCGTTCGGTTGTTGTTCTCTAAGATGTGTGCCCAGGAGGCTCCAGACCCTGGAGGGTTCCTTGTCTGATGAGGGCGGAGGTGGTATCTATTGCCAATCCATGGTTGAAGTTTCCCAGATCCTGGATTCCCGATCCAATGGTTCCCTATCCAGTGTCCTTAACGTGTGTAGATGGTGTGACATCTCAACTTTTCTTGTGGTCGCCAACGTAGAGGTCACTGGGCGCAGGTAGCAGAAGGGACGCACCGATGTCGCCCGTGTTCGGGGCCCTTACGGGGCAAGAAGTCAGCGCGTTCCCTCCCTCGCATCTGCGAGCGCCGCCGCTGCACAGACCCCCCGGCGCATCGACAGTGTTGGTGAGCTTATACCAATAGGATTATTGTTCATCTCCCCTGCCGGGTGCACACGGTGTTTTTCAATTGAAATGCTCCTACCGGGGCTCGCAACCTGCGCCCCTGGCCCCCGGCTTACAAGAGCAACGGCTCTCGCCTGAGATTTTTGACAATTCGTTTTGTATTCGCGCTCTGGCGCGGGACGCCGTCGTAATTTCGTCAGGAGTCGCGCTCTCGCGTGGTACTTCCTCAGAGTTCATTGCGGTCGCCTGCCCCCAAGACTCAGAAATCAGGCCTTCGCTTTGGAATTCTTCACGATTTATTTGGGAATCGCGATGTCGCAACATAGTGCCTCGCGATTCATGTTAGAATGGCGCGGTCCCGCCCGCCCGACCCGCCCGGATTGTTCTGCCGCTTGTGCTCCTGCTCTGACGCCCCCTCTTGCACATTTCTCTCGTGTTTTATCCCTCTCTTTCCCCCTTGAAGCTTTCGTCCTCTCTCCTTTACCCTGTCTGATGCTGCCGCTTGTTTCTCTGCTTCTGACCCTCTTTCTGCTAATCTCTCTCGTGCTCCGTCCTTCTCCCTCAAGGTTGCCCCTTCCCTCCCCCGTCCCGTCCCCTGTTGTAAGGGCTGCGCCAACTACACGTGGCAGGTAAGGAAGAAATGCTCCCAAGGGGGGTAGGATCGTCGACGAAGAGGGCGGGCGTCGAGGGTTTAGGCTATTCATGCTGACTGAATCGCGAGCAGATGCGAACGCACACTCTTACACTGAGTGTGGTTGTTGGTGTTATTTGTCGTGTCAGACTGAACTTTTTTCTTGTGTCCAGAAGTGGCCAATAAATGTGTGGACAGGTTGAGGGGCCTGGTGAAGTCATTATACTGTAGATTGTGCTAGTGCTGTTTCTGCGTTGGGAGTGGAAAGCGTTAGTACAGTATGCAAGAAGATTGGCCTGTGAAAATAGACACGGCAGGGCTGACGAGGTGATCTTACGGTAGCAACAAGTTGTGCACCGCGCGCTCGCGAGGAGAGCTGTTGCAACTTTTGGCTCCGGAGCGCGCAAGCATGACTTGGTCCACGCAGCTTGGTGGTGACGAAGCGTTGCGTCAGTGGCGGTTTGCCAACAGCAGCCTGCACGGGCCGTTCTCTCTCGCGGCCAACCTTCAATCCGATCGGAGCATGTTCTTCACGGGTCGCAGCAATGCAGCTGGGCATGCGGTGGCGCGCGACAGTGCATCTCGAGAGCGACGGTCGGGTTGTGCCCAGGTCGTGCCCACTGCAAGCAGCCAGCCAGATAGCTATCTGGAGAGGCCTTCAGGCGAGGATCGTTCGGTGCATCTAGATAGCATGTGGTCAAGAGAGGTCGTCAGGGGAGGTGATCGGGAGAGGTCGTCAGGATGGGCGGGGTGAGGTCGTCTGGAGACTTCAATATGTGAGGTATCAACGAGCGGGCCAGGTAAGCATCTTGAGGATGGAAGCGCACGTTGATGGGAGGTGGCTATCTTGAGAGGTCGTGAGGCGAGGGTGTTAAAGTGGCACGCAAAGGATGGACAGAAGAGGGGCCGACTGACATCCCTAAGGCTGTCACTGCGGCCTTCGCTGGCACTAACTTGTGGCTTGCTTGGTGCTTCCTCAAGAACGTGACCGTCTCGTGCCGAACGTGAGCTGACCTGCAAGCTTATTTACGTATGCTTCCACTCGCAGCTTCACCGTTTTCACTCGTCGCTTCTGTGCCCTTCACCGCTTGCACCGCTTGAAGGTTTGTTCGTTACCATTCGAAACTTCATCCAGCTTCTTTCCGTATCGTGGATCCCACTCGTATTCACCATCACATTCGTTGACATTTCGATCGATTCTCCTCTTCATCTGCAGCTTCTTGAGAGATGTGTTTTTTGTTCCAGTCAACTCTTCTCTCACTTGCATGGAGTGATGATG